TGGCCGTCTCCGTCCTGTATAAAAGAACCGGCCATCAAAGCAAAAGGTCTCTTCCACCGTCAACCGCCAACAAGGACAGAACAATACATAAATTGTATTAATATTCAAGAATAATAAATAGTAGTTAATTAAATCAAAACTCTTGTTATTCAACAACCACTTCATATATATATATATATATATATATATATATATATATATATATATATATATGTCTTAAATATAAAATTCTTTTGTAATGGGGTATGAAAAGTTAATCCTCCTAAACGATTATTCGGATTTTCATAAATCTTCCTGAAGTTTGTTAAGTGAATTTTTTAAGATTTTTTGATTCATAGAAATATAGTTATATTGTAGAAATAAATAGAAAAAAATACAAAAAACCGCTTATCATTGTTTGACTTTGAAAATATTTGAGGCATTGTTTGACATTAATTAGTATAGGATTAAAAACAAATGAAGACAGTCAATAGCCAAACATTTCAATTCACTTATAGGCCAAGACAATATTAAAATATAATATATTTATGATTATGAATAAGAAAAATGTATTGTCTACATTATCTACAAGTCTACACTATCTACAAGCAGCTGAGATGTGCCAATAATTAAAATAATATAAGACACATTATAAATTTAGCACAGGAACAGTCTTCACATGCGGCTGTGGACTGTGTCAGTGAGAGTGAATATACCCTTTATAATTAATTATTTTTTATTATAACATTATTGTTTTTTAACTAATGCAGTCGTGTTTTGCCTTACTCTACTAAATCACAACACAAAAAAATACTTATTCAAAAAATTATTCAGAAGTGTCATTGTGTCAAAAATTCATATGTTTAGCATTTTTTTACTGCGCTCCAATTTGCATGAAATTTTAGAATTGGGTTCATCTTACTCTCAAGTTCAAAAGTAAAAATAATAAAAAAGCAAATACTTACCAAGTTACTGGCTACTGAAAATTCGTTTCTTTTTTGCGTTTTTCATCGTTTCTTGATAATATCTTAATATTTCAAAAATATACCTTTTAACGAAAACCTTGTAATGATCAAAATTATATCAATTAAATTTATAATAAATCGGTGTTTTATAAAGTGTTCTAGGAACAATATTAGGCGAAATATGATAATGGGGTTTTACGGTGCTCAAAATAAGCTTTAAAATGAATACATCCGCGTGTAAAATGAGTGAGTTATCATGCAAATAAAAGACGCATTACAATGTTTCTTTTTTTATTTAAATCAAATAGTTTATGAGTGCCATTTCCACCAAAATTAGATGAATTCTAGAAAATACCACAACGATTTTCAAAAAGCTCATGATTTCAGGAAAAAAACACTAACTAGCTGTAAGTGGAATTCTGTCTTAAGGCAATTAGGGCATCGTGCCTTAAGGCAAATTGCTGGAACTTCCCGTACCAAAAATTATTATTTATTTAAAAACGATTAACATTTTTGAGAAACTACAAATTTGACAAAAAATTACTTTTTTTTGAAAAAAAAAATTTATACGAAAAAAAAAAATTTTTTTTGAAAAAAAAATTTTTGAAAAAAAAATTTTTTTTTGGATACAAAAAAATTTTTTGAAAAAAATGTTTTCTTCATTTTGACATATTTTGGAAAATCTGAACTTTTTTTTAAAGCAATCGCACTGCTTGAACTGCATAGAGACGAAATGTCAAAGCGCGCATGTGCCGCGCCGCCGTCTAACGCATAAGCATTGGTACGGAACCCATAAAAATGTAAAAAAAAAAAATATACTTATTGTTAAAATCTCTATAAAATATCTGATAATTTGATGTGCATATGTCTAATGATAATTTTTAACCGCCGAATGGCATTATTTTTTACTTTTTTCATTAGATCTCCGAAACCGCTAGACCTGCCTCCATGAAAATTTGATCAATTCTATATCTTGTCAATACAAGTAAAATGTTTTTTGAATTATTCAAATCGGACGCTCCGTTCTCTTAAAAACGGAGGTACCGTTCTTGGCACTTTTTGCCCCGTATCTTCGGAACGGCTAGACCTGCCTTTGCCAAAAACTAATCAGCACGTCTCCTTATCAATACAAATCGAATGTTTTTTGAATTATTCAAATCGGTTGATCCGTGTTCCCGAAATCGTCGACGAAAATTTGTATCCGCACATACATACACACACATACATACATACATACATACATACATACATACATACACACACACACACACACACACACACACACATACATCCATTTTTTCTAAGGTATGCCAAAATGTTCAGAAGGTTTTGAAACGTCGAGAAATGCAAAAATTTTCATTTTCGATTTTTTTGCGATTACTATAACTTGCCCTACGGGAAGTTAAAAAAACAATTTATCATTATTATATCTATGGAAGAATAAAAGATACGTATAAAGGTATATAGATAAAAATTCAGTTATGATTGTTTAAACAGTGCGCGGCTGTTCAACCAGAATATCTTTCGAGCCCTTTAACCCTTTGCCTTTTCAAAATAAGAGAAGTTATGGTAAAATTTATGATAAAGAAAGTTGTTGCCCATTCAATTACCTTTAAGATACTATATTACAGGTTTTGATAAAATCAGAATTAAAAAAGTTATAATCCAATTAATGCGGGGGGTATTGACGAAGTGCCAAATTTTACTTCTGAACTTGAAATTAAGATTAGTCAATTTCCGAAGTATCAAGCAAATTAGAGCACAGTAAAAAACACGCGTTTTTTTTCTTATCCATTTACTGCAATAATTTTGTTGATCGCAGGTTAAATAAAGCATATGTGAACAGGATTTGACAAATTAATTCACTAGAACTTAAGTAATAATGTACATATATTGAATTATTAGTGAGAAAAATGTAATTTAGTTATTAAAATTACTAAAAGCCAGTTAAAATATGGTACGAAATTATAAAAATTATAGGCAACATTATTGAAGCAATTATTTTGGGTAGAAAAATCCAAGGTATATTAATTCTTTCTGAATTTGCTATACCTTTTAAAAGACTTCAATTTTCAACAAGTGTATCTTATGCTATGACCATAAATCACAAAGGCAGACGATGATTTTTTGTTTGATAAATTTGGAAAATCAATGTTTTAGTCGTGAATAACAAAAAATCATTCATTTATATATCCACATCTACAGGTAAGACTAAAAATATTATATAACCCTTAAATGCATTAAAATAAATTAAGCTATTAAAAATAAATTTGTTCTATAAATTGCAGTATATAATTTTTGATATACAATTTATTGAACATATTTTATTATTTGTTAAAGGGATAATTAAAGTGTTAACTGTGGGAATTGAGAATCATCATTTTATTTGAAGCAGTTCTACATTTAACATCACTCATATATTGGTGTAAATAGTAATTTGAAAAACAATGATTTTATTTTTTACTGAACGGTAAATATTAGTATAGGATATTAAAAAAACGTAGATGTGGGTACATGACAACGTCTGTCTGGTCATTTAGTATATATATATATATATATATATATATATATATATATATATACATATATACTAGCTGACTCGGCAAACGTTGTTTTGCTAAGTAAGATATATTCTAAACAATTTCAAGAGAATCAAAAATAATAATACTTTAAGTGTATAAGGATGTGTTGTTTGAATGCTATATACAATGAAGTGTTATAAAAACAATAAACCCCATTAGCTTGTCTATATTTTATCCAAACAATCAAACTGGAAGTTTTATACACTTTCTATACAAATCATGGCATAATACAATCCAAGTCTTTATTGGTCTTTCGACTTATTGATTACGTTTCAAGTTTCAAGTTTTTCAGGTTCTTTTTGGATTCTGGATTTTGTATATAATTCTAAATAATACTACTGAACATAGACAACATTTTCAAATTTCTGCGAGGAGAGATAGCAAACGAAAGTATTTCTTCTTTGACCTGCTTTTCGATGTCTTTCAAAAATTTGTTATCTAGTCCTTTTTACCCCATAGATGCGGTAACTTGGAACGGCCAGGTGGCAAACAGGTTTAATGTCTTATTCTAATTTTAAAGGTATTTTACAAAATAATTACATTTTTAACTAATGCTAAAAAACTACCAACGAAAGAAAATACTTTTATTATAGATTTTCAAAGATTACCGTTTATCTCCCGATGGCAAAGTCATAAGAATCGAGGCTATAGCTGGTTTTGCATCTTTTTGCCTCTACTTTCAAATATTGTTGTTGAACGATGCTAAACTTTACTGGGTTTATCGGTTGTGGACCTTTTTAACCCCGGACCTTCACATATTACTAACTATTATTCGAAAATGTTATTCCACAAAATGTCCCTTTGATCGATACCAAATTTAATAATATAACCTAGAAAATACCAATGAGTATATAATTATACAAATGAGATCTTTCAGAAAACCGTGTTTGAGAAAAATATGATTTGCAAAAAAAGAGTGCTACCAACGCCAAAAAATTCATTTTCATAATAACATTTCAAAAAAGTTGATATTTTGATTCTCTAGTAATACTTGCGGCCCGTTTAATAACATTTTTGTGTATAAATAAAACTACGAACAAAACTACTTACTACAATTTAATCATAAATAATATTCGCGTAAAACATCCTATTAAACGTAATTGAACATCATCTGTCAAAAACGTTTGACATTTCACGTAATTGCCACCGTCCATTGTTTTATTTAAATTACGCTTCTACAAAAAATTTTAAATTAAAAATGTAAAGTTTCTACGCGGATTTGAAATAATTTCTCACCTTTTGGACTTTCTCTGGATTGGCACGAATTTTTCAAGACTAAGACTGGCCAAATCGATTCAGCCGTTTTCGAGTTTTACTTGGACATTTGAAAGAGAGCTCCATTTTATATATATATATATATATATATATATATATTAATATAATCACCAAATAACTTGTCGTATATATATATATATATATATATATATATATATACGTTATTAGAATTTAGTTAGCGTTATTAAAATATTGTAACCTTCATCACATAAAGTTCCGCCCTTTCCCAGCAAACATTGACATCGTTGCTGGTCTTTGTCGTTCACACATAATCCGCCTGCACGGCACTGTAACGAACATTGTATCGTTGGAGCTGCTGTAGATGTGGATAAGCTCACTGTACTTTCTGATGCCGATGAACTTCTGGGTACCTGTTATAACATATAGGAAAGTAAATTATGTCATGCAACACAGGAATAAAATTAATTAATAAATGATAAAAAAAAATTTTAATGATTAACTCCTTCCGGCCGCCTATCCCCCTGGTGGGGCAAGGTGAACTATCACATCACTCGGTCGTCCCCTCTGAGGCACACGGCGTTTTTGTACACAATTACGCATCGTATTGAAGTATCGGTCAAGGATGAGCAACACGCGGCATGCGGGTATCATGTGGTTCCTCAATTTCACCGACTTTCTGCTATCAATGTATAAATTTTTTTTTTCATTTGTAATATTTAACTTCCCGTAGGGTAATTTATAGTAATCGCAAAAAATCTAAAATAATTTTTTTTATATATCATTACGTTGAAAAGGTTTCTGAATATTTTGGCATACCTTAGAAAAAATGTGGTTCTGGAAAAAAAATTGTGCGACGATTGGCCGGGCCGTTTCTTTGTAAATCGAAGAAAAGTGAACATTTTTTCGTCCACGTTTTAACCCGCAGTTCTGAATCGATTTTAGAAATTCAAAAACTGTTCCATAGATATTGGTTAGGAATCGTGCTGATTAGTTTTTGGTAAAGATCGGCCGGGCCGTTTTCTTGTAATAAAGTTTTTTTAAAAAATGGACGATTTTTAACTTCCGGTAGGGTAAGTTATTGTAATGGGCCGATAATCGGAATTGAAAATTTTTACATTTTTCGACGTTTTGAAGGTTTCTGAACATTTTGGCATACCTCTGAAAAAATGGATGTGTGTGTGTATGTATGTATGTATGGATACAATTTTCGTCCACGTTTTCGGGCGTACGTATCAAACGATTTGAATGGTTTAAAAAACATTCGATTCCTATTGATAAGGAGATGTGCTGATTAGTTTCTGGCAGAAGCAGGACCAGCAGTTACAGGGATGAAGAGCAAAGAGTGCAGGAAATAGAAATCGAGTTTTTGAGAGAACGGATCATCCGATTTGAATTGGGATTGGGAGTAATGATTGGGAGAAGTGGTTATTAGTTTTTTGCAAGGGCAGGCCCAGCCATTTCGAAGATACGAAGCTATATGTACAAAAAATGGCAGTTTTTGAGAGAACTAAGCGTCCGATTTAATTGATTCAGAGAACTTTCTGCTTGTCTTAACAAAATAATTGATTTTGGAAAAAAAATTTAGTTTCAACTTTTTTTCATTTTTTTTTTAATTTATGTGTATCGAAAATAATTCAGATTTTATTTTTAATTTTGACTATAGTTCTAATATACTTTACAAATAATGTCAACTTTGCAATTCAGTTTATATAATTCTTATAAATATTAGACAATGTTACAATATTTATAATAATCTATTTGAAAACATTCAGTATTCCTCGAACATTTCGTTACGGTACGGAAAGTACCAGCAATTTGCCTTAAGGCAAGATGCCACCCACCCCACTAGTTATGATTTTTTTTTGACGGTAGATACCATAATCTTGTGGATCAAAGTAAAATATTACGGCCCTACAACAAGTCGTTTAATTTTAAAAATTCTTCAAAGTTGCATAAAATTAATTTCGTTTTTTTGGCATTTCTCGAAATTAGACCTTCGATCGACGTTTTCTCAAAAACGTCTGAACCGATTTCAGAAATTTAAAAACCATTCGATGTATCTCAATGAGGATTATCGTTTGCCAGTTTTGTGCGACGATCGGCCGAGCCGTTTCTTTGTAATTTGGAAAAGTGTTAAACTTTTCGTCCACATTTAAGCTCATACTACCGAATCGATTTTAAAAAATTAAAAACTGTTCGAAAGATATTAGTTGGGAAGGGTACTGATTAGTATTAGGTGAAAATCTACTGAGCCGTTTTCGTGTAATTAACTGTTGAAAAAAAAAATTAAGCCGATTTTTATGGAACTTTTTTTGGCGATATATATCATTGTCTTAAAGAGCTTACTATATTAAGGCTGTACGACAAGTAGTTTAATTTTAAAAATCCATCAAAGTTTGAGAAAATTGTTAGCTTTTTGACGTTTGTTAAAATTAAAATTAGACGATTAGACGATTGGTATAGCTATAGAGTACCTAGTCTTAGTAAACATACTAAACCATTAAAATCATACGAATCACGGGGTACGGGTACATTTTTGTAGCATTCTAAAATGCTGAATGAAATTCAATGTTCATTAAAAATTTATAAAGATAAATGATAAAAAAGATTAACTAAATTTTTATGTGATTAATATAATAAATATATAAAGAAATTAATACTATTACAAATGTACACTTTATTAAATACTACAATCACAGGTTATATACTACAAATAAAATTCATGCTTCCAGTTATTCTCTTTATTTTCGATTCATATTGTGTTTCATAAAATGTAGTTATCGTTATTAGATTTAAATTTTGGCAACACATCAAGATCCAGTAATCGCATCTCTAAACTTACAAGAACATCTATTCGCACTTGAAGAATGGCTGAAAGAATGGAAAATAAGTATAAATGAAGACAAATCAAAACATATCACGTTTACAACGAGAACTCAAAACTGTGAGGCCGTATTTATAAATAACATCGAAATTCCTCCTAGTACCAGCATTAATTATTTAGGGCTTCATCTAGACTGTAGACTCACATGGGGTCCCCATATCAAACAAAAAAGCAAACAAACAATGAAAAAATTCAAACAACTGTACTGGCTAATTGGCAGAAAATCGAAAATGTCATACGCAAACAAGACTTTAATATACAAAATTGTACTAGTACCAATATGGAGCTACGGAATAGAATTATGGGGATGTGCAAGTGCATCAAACATAAAAATTATACAGCGTACCCAGAACAAAATATTAAGGGCAATGGTAGATGCGCCTTGGTACGTAACTAATGAGACCATCCACAGGGACCTGGAAATTAAAACTGTAAATGAAATTATAAAGACCCGGAGCTGTTCTTATCACAACAAAATCGATGATCATTCGAACGCTGAAATACAAACTATCAACAAAATGGTTCAAACAAGAAGACTCAAGAAGAAATGGCCAAAGGACCTGCAATATTAAATTATATACAGACAGCTATAGAATAATTCTAGCAGAGGATCTCTTCAATGGAGGAGACCTCTAAACGCCAAATATAATTTATCACATAGGCTAATAGAAACTTTGTCTTCTGATTGTCTATTAAATAATAAATAAAAAAAAAAGATTTAAATTTATGAATAATAATTTGGTTAAAGATGGTACAATATAGTAAAATAAAATGCCTGTCAATTAAAATTGCTCTATTAATATTAACATTTGAAACAACGGTTCATAAGTCTGATTCTATAAATTTCTTGACAAACTTACTTTTTGTTCGAGACCTGGTCCATTCGTTGTTATATCCGCATAATCTGCTTTGATCGGTTGTTGATTTGAGTATATACTATTGATATCATTCGACGTGTCTAGGCTTATATCCAGTTCCGCTGAAAATGAGGAATCCTTCTGGTATATAATATCTTGTCCATCGTCAATTTCAGTTTCCAGATGCAGCACGGATGTAGAATTCAGTTCTAAAAATTTAAAAATGGCAAAAAATATTAATAATTCATTCTAACAAATGTTGCCAAAATATAATTATATTAATATAAACATAAATTAGGTGTACGTTTATCTTAAACTTATAAAATATTTAAAATATATCGATATAAAATTGCACTATTACTACGATTTCAAATCAAGATCGTTATTATGACGTACGACAATATTTTGCATAGTAATATTTTGGTGAGACAATAAAAATTCACATTTACATAAAACTGTGAAAATAAAATAACAAACTGTGGGATCAAATAATGTACCATATTACGTTATGGCTATATTAGAAGAATACATTTACATATAAGAAGCTGATGATAAGCATCATTAGGAATTCAAACACCCATTACTTCAGTAATGCTTTCAAACTATATTTGCATTTGCGATTGATATTGGTAAATATTTCTAGTACAACATCATTAGGATTAGTAGGATTTCTTTCCTCTTTATTTGCCTATTGTTCAGCTCATATTGCATGTTTACTTGTAGGAACTTCGTCTAATCTATTTGTATCAGGGTAAGACAAATTATCTATTTGTATTAGGGTAAGACAAAATATTGTGCACCTATTAAATTTTAATTTATTAAAATTAAGTTGAAAATAACCAATAAAACAAGTGGTGTATGACCTAATGCCTTAAGGCAAATTGCTAGAACTTCCCGTACCGTAGGGTAGGGCGGGGCTAGTTGAGCAAATTTTTACTTAAACGGATGTAGCTCCTCAATGAAAAGTTTTAACAAATTGCTATACGACCTAATGGATTTGTTGTTTATCGCTTAACAAAAGTGTTAATACTATTTTTTATAATATGTAAAATTTAAAAGCTACAGCTGTTTAAATGCAAAAAGTCAAGTATGCTCAATGTACCCCATAGGTGGGGCAAGTTGAGCACTAAGAAATTATAATGAAATTATAGGTTTAATGTCGATTAGTGATGAAATAAAATAAGTTTTTAATAACCAGTTCTATATTAATAGTCTTTATTGACAGAGAAAACAAAACTTATAGTAATTTTCTTTGAATAATTAACTACAAGTAGAATCAACAAAACAATATCGTATCTTAGGAATTATTTTACCATTATATTCAGTATTTTTGTTTAAAATCATTATTTCTTTATATTATTGCTCATAGACTTAGTTTAAATCTTAAAATTAATAATTAATTTCTGGAAGTTAATGGTAATTGCCCTAGTGACAGAACAAGTTTAGCAACTATGCTCAACTAACCCCAACTCGGAATTTCAAAATGAAAGTGAGTTTATAAAAAAACCGTGAGAATTATACCCAGAATCTCTGTGCAAATTAAAAGTACTATAATTATATGGAAGAATAACATTTACCTGATTAAAAATAAATAACATTTGACTAAACCAGACGAAAACTCGTGATAAATTACTTTTTTACTTTTTGGTCTCAAAATAAACAAAACGCCCGTTAGCCTCACTCATTTGTCCAGCGGCCACTAGCGATCGCGGGATGTTTATTTCTCCCAAACCTCTATCTTTCCGCCATATAATGCCTAAACGGACAGCGAATAGTTTTCAAGATATTTCGATTGCTCAACTTGCCCCTATGCTCAACTAGCCCCGCCCTACCCTAATAAAATATTCAAAGAATATTAAATATTTTCAAATATATTATTATAAATACTGTAACTTTTATTATTCGTATTTCATAGACAAAAATTAATTTTCTTAGACAATTATAAATTGGATGACATTTAAGGGGGGTTAGAATAAAAGATCTTGTCTCATATTTCTAAGAATGATACACTATAAAGTGAATTGCAAATTTAATTATTTATTCATTGATAAAAGATAGGTTCAGAATTTTAGCTAGAATTAAAATTAAAATCCGATTATTTCTGATATTCAAAAAAAAAAATTGTAAACGAAAATAAAAAAATTTTTTTTTTGCATCATTCAAAATTTTGAATCATTCAAATGGAATCCTTCGTTCTCTTAAAAACTACAATTTTTGGCACATTTAGCCCCATCTCTCTCTCATTGCGAATTTCATGGTTTTTGAATCATTCAAATCGTATGCTCCGCGCTTTCGAAAAACTCGATTTCTATTTTTGCACTGAACTCTTTGCTTTGTATATCTGAAACGGTAGGGCATATCTTTGCCAAAAACAAATTAGCACGTCTTCCCATCAGTAGGAAACGAATATTGTTTGAATAATTCAAATCGATTAATTCGTGCGCTCGAAATCATGGACAAAATATTGTATCCACACAAAACACACACGCACACTTCCATTCTTTTTCTAAGATATGTCAAAATGTTAAAGGGAGAGCCTGCTTTAGAGGCTTTGAAATTCCCTGTTTGAGAATTTTTAAGGAAGGAAATGAATATTTAATTGAAACTCCTAAAAAAACAGGGAACTCCCAAAAAGTGGTGAATTATGAAAAATTGATTATTGCTATTAAGGAAATGAAAATAAATAAAATATCGGAGTGTGTTGCTTCTGCCGTTACCAATGTTAGCAGATCGTTTCTTCATCGCATCATTACATACTCTAACTAGCTGTAAGTGGAATTCTGTCTTAAGGCAATTAAGGCATCGTGCCTTAAGGCAAATTGCTGGAACTTCCCGTACCAAAAATTATTATTTTTTTAAAAACGATTAACACTTTTGAAAAAAATTTACTTCGAAAAAATAAGATTTTTGACAAACAATTAGACAAAAAATTACTTTTTTTTGAAAAAAATAATTTTTTTTTAATTTTTTTTTTTGAAAAAAAAATGTTTTCTTTATTTTGACATATTTTGAAAGATCTAAACTTTTTTTCAAAGCAATCGTACTGCTTTAACTGCATAAAGACGAAATATCAAACCGCATGCCATTTGGCGGTCAAAAATGATTATTAGACATATGCATATCAAATTATCAGATATTTTATAGAGATTTTAACAATAAGTATAAATTTTGTTTACATTCCTATGGGTTCCGTACCAATGTTTACCCGTTAGACAGCGACGAGGCGCTTACGCACTTTATATTTTGTCTCTATGCAGTTAAAGCAGTACGATTGCTTTGAAAAAAAGTTCAGATTCAGTTACCGTTTTCAGCACTTTTTGCCCCGTATTTTCGGAACGGCTAGACCTGCCTTCGCCAAAAACTAATCAGCACGTCTCCTTATCAATACGAATCGAATGTTTTTTGAATTATTCAAATCGGTTGATCGATGTTCCCGAAATCGTCGACGAAAATTTGTATCCGCACATACATACACACACGCACACACACACACACACACATACATCCATTTTTTCTAAGGTATGCCAAAATATTCAGAAACCTTTGAAACGTCGAGATATGCAAAAATTTTCATTTTCGATTTTTTTGCGATTACTATAACTTGCCCTACGGGAAGTTAAAAACAGAGGTCGCGGCAGAAACAGCACAGCAATATTTTCCAAAAAGAGCAATACTTCATAATCAGCTGCAAAAAAATGCAAAAAAAGAGTGCGCATGAGGATCACACGCGATTGAAGTAAAAATTATTTGCTACTGTACAAAGTAGCAATTTTAAGTCAAGTAAAAATAAATACATCATATAACAATTTTGAATGATGTTTACTAGTAATATGGTAACACTCGTGATGCATACCCGGCAAATTCCGTTTCACCACTAGATGGTTTCATTTTATGTAACATTTCGTTTGGTGATTAAAAGATGAAGATTTTTTTTTGTTTTATATTTGAAAAGGAAAATTTTTATTTTATTTCACAACAGTAATGAAGTTATATCGATTACAAAAATGAAGTGTTACTTAGTTGAACTTCTCTAAGTAATTCATTGGTCCAATATCAAAATTTTCATTATCACTGTAGTTCGCAGTGGGATCATGTTGGAATGCCAAACGATGGTATGATGCCAATGATCTTCGTGTGCTCACGCGTTGTCTCAGTCAGGCATTTTCTCTTATTATATTTCGTCTTTCTTCGCTTAAGTTCTAGACTTGTTGCTGGCTTGCATGTCTTGTGCGGCGGCCGATGTTCGCACATCGTTCTCTAGGCATTGTAACTATGGACAGAGTAGCGAATTTAACCTCAAATGCACGATACACATAATTTACACAGCTTAACTTACCACTTTAATGGGTTACAACCACTGTAGATTTTTCAAAAAACAAAAAGAAAATTTAGGCTTAAAATAACTTAAAATAAACTTTGAACCTTTTAGAATATGAGAAAAAATATTTCATACCTAAAACTTTCTTTTTTTACTTGTAATTATAAGCTTTTACCCATGTGCATTGGGCTGCTCCGAATTGACACCGCTAAAATACATTAACAAAAAACATTATAAAGCAAAATTACAACATGTGTTATCTTGAATATACTAATATATGTTATAATTAAACATTTATGTTGCATAAATAAACTGTAAAAGCATTTTTAACCAATAGATGATCAGTGCAGAGTCAACACCTATAAAGGTTGACTATATTGCGGCTGATATTGCATTCCGAAATGCCTTTGACGAAAGCGCCAAAAGTAGGCTCTGATATAGAATCATCAATTGAAGGAAATAAGAAAAAAAAATGAAAATAAAAAAGCATCTGTATGTTGCTGGGATATCAGATTAATAGTAAAAAAATTAAACTGTCAATTTTTTATAATTTCTTATCTATAATTTATTTCAAAACTTTAAACGCGTTTTTCTCGAAACACGATTTTACAACGCGGCACGCAAAATAACTACAACAATTAGATTTTTTTCATTCGAATTTTTTACAGTATATTTAAAATTACATTAATTTTTAAGTGCCTATCGTAGCGGAGCGTCTCCAATTTGACGCGGCTCGCTGATGAATATCATGATTTTATTACTTTTCCTTCCGCCCGAAAAAAAAATGGCAAAAACATACGTATTTTTTTTTTGACTGCTACCGTGGTGTAACCCCTTAAAGACAAATGCCTGATGTTGAAATTGAATAAAAATTTACACAGTACACGTGGT